AGTTCAGACGTGTGCTCTTCCGATCTCCCCAAAACCCCAAAACCCCAAGTGGTGAAATTTTGAGCGCCAATAGACAAATTTGAATTTAAATATCCACTTAAAAGGATTTTGCTTAACTAATACGTAATCGCTTAAAAGATTCTAGGAATCTGTTTGATCTTTAACACAGTGGATTTAACCATTTAAAATTAGGGGTTTTAGCGCCTATTTAAAGAAATTAAATTTATTATTGGATCAGGAAGGGATTTAAGTCTAAAATTTTAAATTAATCATAACAATAAGATACAAATTTAATTTTTCCAACTCACACATCACAATTACTTCAAAAGGATGAGGTCACTAGATTAAGTTGATTTAAGAGATAAGGCCAAGTTATTGGCCTAAGTTCAGCAGCTAAGTCACAAAATAGTGAATCTGTTAAACGAGAACAACGAAAACATTTTGCACATAAGTAAGATCTCCAAAGATTTAGTTTCACTTAATAATTCCATTTTTATGTGCAGTTGCGTCTGAGAAAGCTTTCAAAAACTCTCAATCCATCACTGGAAACAAGGACATGACTTTGTTTGAGATAATACAGACGCTAGTAAAATAGATGAAGACACTGGCATACAAGTGTGATAAGAGTCAAGGATAAACTCCACTACATTATGCCTTTAAAAGTGGAAATCTAGAGTGTGCACTCTGGATGGTATAAATTATAAAGAAGGAATATGGCTATGATGCACAGTAAGAGCTTCTCAATTCAATTGATAATGTAAGTCACTACTAAACATTTATAGTTCAATTCTCATCAATGACATGTGGCATGATTATGCCTTTTCTATTGGAATAATGATATTAATACCATGTTATTTAGGATGGCATGAGACCTATTGATCTCTTAGCATTCATGATAGATGATTATCACAAATCATTTATCAGAAATTTCCACAACGAAGAAAAGAATTATAAACTTTCCAAAAGATTTGATGCCTATTCCTGGGGTTACAGTGATGAATTCCAACTCGGCTATACTTAACTCAATAATATGAGAAAATATCCAAAGAAGATCACTTTCACACCGAAGACACGTCAAAATATCGGAAACTAACAAGATGGTCAGCCGACATATTTATCTGATAATAATTTGCCTACTAATTAATTATCGATTAAGGATATAAAAGTTGCTAATACCTATTCCCTTGCAATTACTGAAGATGGACTCTTATTCTCTTGGGGATCTGGTATCAATGGTCACTTGGGCCTAGGTGATGAAAATTCAAGAATCCAGCCAGAATAAATCAATATAGATTTGAAAGACGAGGAAAAGAAAATAAGAAAACTTAAGAGAAAGCATAGAGATATGGAGGAGGTCGAAGAGTTAATGACTCTTCATAGTTTTGTCAAAAATGCCACAAAGGGCGGCATTAATCTTAGTCATTCCTAAGCCTTCATTGAATAGTAGTGCTTAATTTCTCTACATAATATCAAGGGCCAAGACAACATGGGGAATTATTTCCTTAATGATAAATAATCAATGAACACAAATGGAAAGAACAAAAAGCACTCAAAGAAAGTCAAGTAGTTCAGTAATTTTTAAAACGAATAAGCTCTCATTTCTAAAAGAGAACTAGACGTGTAAATTTTGCTTCTCTCCATAGACAAAGTCTAAGTCAATAAAATAGCTTGTTCTAGTAGACATTCTTTGATTGTACATTTTCATGTTAATCTTAATTTCATTAAAGTGTACCAATACCGGTGCAGTATTTTCCTGGGGAGAGAATGATGCAGGCTAGCTTGGCTTTGGATGCAGGAAAGAGAGTTCTCAAGGCTTGAGTAGTCATCTTTAGTTCTCAAGCACCCCAAAGAAAGTCGAACAACTTTCGTAATACTCAACAATATATAAACTTATTTGATAGAAAGTTGTTCGTAGTTGATGTTGCTTGTGGTGATTATCATAGTGCTGTGATAACTAATCTGCAAGAGGTTTATCTTTGGGGATCAAACAAGAATGGCCAGCTGGGTATTGATATGGAGAACTGTCAGCAATCCTATAAGGCTCAGAAACTGGTTTTGTTTGAATATATGAACTCCTCTCAGAAAGAGAGATTCCTATAAGTTAAGGCTAAGTACAACTACACAGTCCTAGTCTGTGAATCTAAGAATGTACATTTATACTATAAATATCTATAGGTCTATATATCTGACAAGCACTAGAACCAGTTTGTGGCTTTGTTTGCAAAATCTGGTAATAGTAATGCTCACAAGAAGTTAGAGGCTAATGTTTATTTGAGCAATGATTACTTACTTGCTATGGACATGAGCAAAAGCATATATCTCTATAAGATATTCTCACAAGCCTAAAATAAACAGTAACATGACGTATGTATTGTCGTAAGGTTTATTCAAGATCTTCAGTTAAAATCTAAACTAAATTATAGAAACGACTGGCTCATGAAATCTACTCTAGTTCTAATTTCATTGAACTCTATCCCACAGAATAAGATATATGGGCTGTAAATTCATTGAGATAGCTTTTAGTTTGCAAAGATTTTAAGCAAAAGATGCATCATAATAATGAGAATATAAGCTTCGAACCTGTTAATGACGTCTTTAATGTAATGAAAGCTGCAATCGGACAGAAACATTAAGTCGTTATAAAAATCATTAAGCAATTAGATGACAAGATGACAAGGGACATCAATGTGAAAAAAGAAGTAATGGAAAGTTCAGAAACTATTGAGGATGACTTTGAAATCCCAATGCCAAGCAGCTGCATGATGGATATGGGCATATCTATTGCTGGAGGATCCTTTAAGACTCCAAGTTCTTTTAAAATTGAAGAGGATATAACCTAAGTGGAAGAGATAGAAGAAGATTTATAATATATTCCTAGCTTGGCAGACATTTGCATTCAGCAAATGTCGAATAACATAGTAATCATTTTGATTTGACATTTTAATAGAATCTAGACAATGCTCTTGATTTATACGAGATGGCTGATCTCTAGATCATAGATGAGTTAAAGATAAACTGCCTCAAGTTTATTTCTTTGAACATCGTTTCGTATTTAGAGTCAACTTATCTCGAAAGGCTTTTGTAGCTGCCTATTTACCTCATCAGAGATCTAGAAAATTTCATCAAACTTGAGGATTCAGAGAAATATGTGCTCACTGATATGAGAGATATTGAGGAGTCTGAATACGCTTAGAATCAGTAAATATAGATGGAAACTGGCAAGAAGAAAGAAATATTTAACGAGGAAAATTGTCTCAAGCTATATCAAGAATTGATGGAAATGTTCTCTGAGTTTGACGGGAACGGCAGGCTTTAGGATTAGCTCAAATAAGACTTGTGCTCAAAGGTTCATAAATTCCGATCTTAACTTAGAAAAGCTCATAAGAAAATGAGAAAGGGTTCGAGTAATGTGAATTAAAAATTTGAGACTCCAGCTGACAGAAATAGCTATGCTTTTGACTAGGATGATTACATGAATACAGATGATTTTGAGGTTGTGGTGAACTATCTCGATTTAGTTAATGATTTCATAAAGGGTCATATTTCATGAGAAATGTAGGAATACCAAAACAAATAAAATTATATGATTACTCAATCGCCAGATGATGATAACAATATAATTGTGACACAGCTAAAAATTTAGAATCAGGATGAGGAATCACCTTTGGATATAGAAGATAATGTGGAATTCCAGGAAGCAAGACCCTCAGCCACTGTGATTATTAAGAAAAAGAAAGGAGGCAAGCAGAAACCTAAACCTTCCTAATCACAATAGCAGACTTAAATAAGCTCCAACTAGTGGATAGAATAATAAGAAAAATGAAACTACTGACTCCTACGAGAGTTTTTTCTTGAAAACAAAAGATAATTACTCTAAGCAATAAGAATTCGAAAAGCACAGTCTTGAAAATGATTTCATGATTGTTTAGTAGTGCGACAAGAAATCAAACAAATAGATTAATAAGTCAAAGTAAATTGTAAAAGATACTACAAAAGCAGGTGGCAATCAAGGTGACAAGGATGAAAAATTTTTGTTGAGTGATCTGCTCGGCTTGTAATGCAAGACATAAGAAATGAAGAATAAAAATGAGGCAGAAGATAGAAGATCTTCTTCTGATTTATGGAACTATCTTGAAAATCAAAAAGAGCAGGAAAATGACCCTCAAAAAGATAATTTACAGCCAAATCAGTAGATACAGGCTAGGGAGAGAATTACAAGTTTTGAAGACATTCAAAGAGAAGAGACAGAGAAAAAGAATCGTAAGATTTCTGGAGGAGTACGTAAAAATTCTACTTCTCAAGTTAGTCAGCCTCAAAAGTAACCAGTAAAAGCAGCTGTTTTAAGTGAGGCATCTACTAAAAATGATTGGGGGTTGATAAAAGAAGAAGATGAGATTGACTTTGATGAGGTGATTGAAAATGAAAAGATAAAGAAAGAACAGGCAAGATAGTAGTTACAGAGAGATGAAGAGCTTGTAAGAATAATGATGGAAGAAGAACTTAGAAGACAAGAAGAAGAGATTCTATAATAAGTCCTTCGTGAATCAGCGATTGAATACTCTGAAAAATTATACTATGAGGAGTAACCTAGGTTATAGGATAATTACTCTACTACAACAGTCTATAAGAAAAAGGGACCTGCAGGGAAAAAGGGGAAAAAAGTTACTGAGAGTTAGCAATAAACTTAGTCTTAGATGAAATGGATACCTAAAGCTAAGTGAAGCTCGTCGGCGCTTGACCTTTGATAGCAATGCAGTAAATATTTAGATTGCCATATAATATAATCTATAATCTCTGATGATTGATTGAAATGTTAATTTTTAATCTTATAATACTATCTTGTTTATTATGATATAGTAGAAGTAATACTTTAATTTCGTACTAAAATCTGCATTTATCTATAGCATAAAGCTTGCAAATTCATTTTCTATTCTTGATTTTATTTCTAAATTCAACCAATGCGGGGTTTTGGGGTTTTGGGGTTTTGGGG